GCTCAGCCAGTGAGCGGGAACTGGTCTGTATGTGGGATCCGAACCCTCGGCGGGAGCGCCACCGCGCTCCCAAGCGGCGCACTGGAGCAGTGCACCACCGGGCCGGCCCCCATAAACACATATTTAACATATATATTATTTTCTGATTGTCTTACTGACAATCTTTTGTAAGGAAATATTGTAAAGACAAAACTCATTTGATAATTAACCTTCAGGCAAAATATGAATAGTTGAATAGGCATGTGTCTTATACATGAAACTTATAGAAAGAGTCAATGTTATGTCTGGGTATGTCTTTTCAGCTAGTAAATGTCATACATGGCGGTGACGTATTATGCATTGAGTTTTTGTATAAGTTAAGGAATTTTGCTTAATTTATTTCCAGATTACTACTGGACTAGGAACATTATGAGTAGTTAATCACGTGGCCACTGAGGAACTAAAAGTGGAGATAAAATGTTTTGTACCTAGAAATAAAATACTTCCTACTTAAATTTCTAAATACAGTTATACAAAAATCTTCAGAATATTTTTACTTAAAAATGCAAAAAATTTGTGACCTACAGATTTTTACATCTTTTTATATGGTTATAGAGTATTACCAAAATTGTTTGTAATTAATGATGTGATAATGATAATGACCCACATTGTCCAAAATGAACTTTCTTGGAAATTTATTGTTATTCTTTTTACTCATTGTCCAAAATTTGATCAATTTTGCTTTTCTCGTTTCTACTTTTTCTTTTGCCTAGCCTCTGCCTTTTCCTCCAATGATACACCTTTAATCTCTTAATAAACAAAATTTGAATTTACATATTTAAAGAAATATAAATTTTTTGGTGTAACTAGTTTTTTCCCCCTTTTTCTTTTAATTTTTTCTTGACATTATAACTTCCCCTGCTTGCTGAATTTGTTGGCATTCTAATTTTGGTTCTAGAGCTACATAAAAAAATACTGGACACACATATGAGATTACCAATTCAGCATTTACAATTCTGTTGGAAAAATACTCTTGTGTGACTTAATATTTATCAAATTCCTTATGTTCCAAATTAAACTCATTGGACAATCCTGTTACACCCACTTGATCCTATTTATTTCTTCTAATAGTTTTAATTTCTTTCTGCCTCTAGATTTAATTACTAACGGTATAGGTAGGTAACCACATTCTGCCTGATTGGTCTTAATATGGCAGTTCTTACTCTTTTACAGAAACCTTCACTGGATCCCAAATTCTTCTGCAAAGCATCTAAATTTCTTTATTTGGCAATAAGTGCTATAAAAGAGATAATCTCAATTTGCCTCTTCAGCCTTACCTGCCATATTTTCTTACAGCCAAACAACAAATTTATTGTTTAAATCTCCATCTATATTCAGTTAAATATAATGTTTTTAATCATTGCCATCTTGCATGTATGCATTATGTGATTTTGTTAAGCCCCACCTTTTAACTTAATATTAAACTTCAATCTGAATAAAATAATATAGTCTGATGTTATTATCTTTATATTTTGATTTCCACAAATATAAATAATTTTTTGCAATACTTCTATTATGTCAAATAGTGACAAATCTTTTTGATGAAACAGATTCATTTTATTTACATTCGTAATCTCTTAATGTACCTATTTTAAGGTCAAATATTCTTGGAAAATGGCTAGAAATAGTATCTCCCTCTTCTGCATTGCAACACAATTATGTCTCTCTCTGTTTCTTTGTTTATTTTACTCCATAATATATTTGTATTTACCCATGCTTTATTTCTTCTATTTGAATGTAAGTTCCTTGATGGAATAAGCCTTGCACAGACACTTCTCAAATTATATATGTACTTGATAGGTATAAACAGAAAAGATACATACAGGATAGATAAATGAATAAACTATGTTGCCATTATTTGACATAGTAGAAACATCAGTTTCTAAATTAATTTTTGGGACAATTAGTCAAAGTATAAAGTCAAAAGAATTAGGCTTGGCTTTCTTGTTTATTTACAATGAAAATCAGGCAGGCACCCAAGGGACTGAGAATAGCAACATCATGTTAAAAATAACTTTAAAATAGCAATGACTAAAAATGTTAAGTTTAACCAAATTTGGATGGGATTTAAGCAAAACATTAATTTGAAATAGCCAATGAGGCTCTCAGGCTAAGATCCTTTATCTCTTCCACTACTGCCTTCCATTTGCATTGCAGACCTCAGTAGTGTGGTGGTTATCACTGTTTTATAAGTTTATCAAGCATTACTTTAAGTTGGGAAAATGAAGTATTTTATGTGACATAATAGGTTGAATAGGTTATGCCTTTTATCCTTTTCCTAAATTTTAAATGGTAATAAAATAATGAGTATGCTTTCTTGAAATAATTACTATGCTTTATTTTCTTAACACATTTTCCTTTTAACAAGAGTTGTGTAACATTGTGTTATCAATATCATGTGAGTAGCAAGAGATGACAACTTTGTAAGAATAATTTGTTCCAAAAACTCCAATAAAATAATCACAGTATTGTATTGACAAAAACTTCTGATGGAATTAAGCCTGTATTCCTGGTATATTAAAAAGTTCTAAAGTTTAACTTTTTTACATTAAGACATGGCCTACAAAAATGCTTAATACACACACACCTGCATTTGTTTTTTTAGAATTCATGTGACAAAACAGCACAGCTATTTGTATCTGTTTTTGTTTTCTAAAAGTTAAGCTTGGAATGAAAATGTCTTAAATGTGGTTTTTAAAACCACAGCACAGATTAAGTTTGATTTTCTGCAGGTGTTATGAAAGTGCCTCCTCCAGGGACTATTCAACAGAAGAGCTGGAACTTTTCATATTTGACATAAGGGATCAAATCAGTTTCTTTCCTATGACTTTTATAAAAAGTTATTATATAAAGAGGCCACAATTCACATCAGATTTGCTTAGACATTAAATTAAGAAGATAATTGATACTGGGCAAAAAATTCCTGATGTTTTATAGGCAGCATTTTATGGAAGCTAAAAAATTGACTTTTGTCTTTACTCTTTTAGATCTGAAAATAAGAATTATAATGGCATACAGATTACAAAACAGTCACAGATATTAAGCAACATTTTGAATGTCTCTAAAGAAATTGGAAGCTGAAGCAGGAAATGAAACTTAGACCTCTGATAGGATTTTAGAACAATGAGTGATTTTTGTCTCTAAATAATTTAAGCTGAGTATCTGGAAAGAGTGAGCCAATATGAAAAGCAATTTGAAATTGAACTTCTCAGAAGACAGTGCAATTTATGAATGCAGTATTATTTGTCTGACTCTTTAACCCTGTGCCTTTCAGAATGGATACACATAAAATGGTGTTAATTAGAAACTACATGCACAGCCTTTATTTCTTACATTAGAATAGATATAATGTAAGAAAAAGTACCACATATATCAATTAATGAGGAATTCTGCAATATTATTGGTCTAACATAATCTGTCTCTGTGTCGTTTGTCATGTGTTTTTATCAGAAAATGGTTTTCAGTCTTTACTTTGAAAAGAGTTAGCCTGATTATCAAGATGGCATATCATCCTTCCGCCACTCCCAGGTCTGTCCTAAAGTAGTTTTGGTGTTGTTCTTAGGAATTTGTATGTGTAAGGACCACCACAGTTGATTTAGTGCAGGTGGCCATGGCTTACACATTGAAGAACAGAGATATAAGGACATGATTTAGTCAGCAAATCGGAACATTCTGGGGAAAAGATGTCAAACAATTTGAGCATTTTAGTGCTTCTTGCTCAATTGCATGAGAAAATGTGGTGAATTATTAAGAATGAAATTATTTTCTTAATTCAAAAGCAGGTAGAGAATTATGTACAAGTGATTCTTGAAAACTCTACCTGTACTTGTAAAGCTCAATTGTGGTAGGCGTAACTATATTTGGCTGAGGCCAAGAGACAGAAGAAAATGGACCAAATTCTAAAAAAACTTAAGGTTAATTGGTTGTTAAAAAGATGAGATGTAATAGTGTCTGAGTAAATTTATGACGATCACCAAGCTTAGAAATAACTTTATTTGGAAAAAAATGAAGATTTCTCCCCTCTTTCCCCCCCTGCAAAAAGGGATATTTCCCTGGATCCACCTTTAATGCAATTTTTTTTCTTTCTATTTTTCCCCCCTCATTTATCAGTGAAGATAGTAAATTACTCTAGATATTCCACAAATTTTTAGATTTCAAATAGTGTTGTTATAATCTTTTGTAAAGATCACTATTTCATTGAATTAGAAAACAGTGATCCATCTTTTCCATATACTGTACCAAAAAAAAAAAAAACCAACTAACTACAAATTGCCAAAGTTTTTCTTTGTTAAATGCATCAAAGTAGATATATTATAATATAGTTAATCTGTTCATTTTTATTTTCAGATTCAAGAATGGCTTTGTTTAAACTGCCAAACCCAGAGAGCAGTGTCAGGACAGCTTGGTGACGTGGGCAAAACACTACCTACGCCATCGGGACCCAAAGCATCCCCTGTGCCTATACCTACAGAACCCCCATCTCAGAAAACAGCAATGCCTGCCCAGGTAAAAGTGAAAAAGAAGGAAGAAGAAGTAAAAACAGAAGCCGAAAAAGTCATTCCAGAAAAAGTAATAGAAAGACTTCCAGTTGAAAAAATTCCGCATAAGGCAACCACAGATCAAAAACAAGAAGATAGTAAACTAGTAAAAGACAAAGCTTCAGACATTCAAGAAAAAAAACCACCCCCTGAAGAAAAAAAGCCACTCGCAGAAGAAAAGCAACTAACTCCTGAAGAAAAAAAGCCATCTCCTAAAGAGCCACCCTTGGAAGAAAGAAAGCCAGCCTTGGAAGACAGAAAGCCAACACTTGAAGACAAAAAGTTATTCCCAGAAGCAAAAATAACAGCCCTAGAGGAGGAAAAGAAACATGACTTACTTAAAACTGGAATACAAATTGCTGAGGAAAAGCCCAAAGGCAGAGAGGCTCCAAAGGCAATACAAGATGAAAAACAACCACAGACCGAGAGGGAAGATTTACCATCTACCATGCCTCAGAGTTTGCCTAAGGAAGTTGATAAGACAGCCAAAAAAATAAAAGACCAGCCACAGGCAGCATGCATAGCAAAACCTGATCGGGTGGAATCTGGGAAAGAAAAAGCAGTAAGTTATATTTTCCTAACTTTGCACAGCCTCATGTATGTAATTTATTAATTCTCACCTAAGTTCACAAATTGCTCAATGGTAATTATATAAATGAAGATCATCAAGCAATGAATGGCATTTTCAGAGAAATGTAACAATTATTTACTGAAATGAAGAACTTTGGCCTTTTGACAGCTTAATCAAATATATATAAACCATAGATATAAAATACATATTTTTGTTTCTTATTTTCAAATAATTTATCAAACTCATATAGAATGATAAAGATGTTTTCTGCTGTTTTAAGTTATTCCTTTTTTCTCCACTACGGACATAAAAATCAGTATTTCCCTTTAATATAAAATAATGTGTTTTCAGGTAAGTTTCTGTTCACTTAGCCATTTGGTTATGCAAGAGTCAACAAGTTTCTTCTCACTTGAAAGTCTTTCAAGGTGTGGTCAGCCATAAAATGATTTTCAACTAAAAAAAGAAAGATTTGAATGAAATTCAGAACAAAAATCATTTAAAAAATTCACGACATAGTTTATTTTAGTATGTAGGATAATTGTAATGATGTATTCTGTTAGGAGTTTCATTCAATGTGTTTAATATTAAAGGGTTATTTATAATACAAGCATAATCTGGAATAATATATGTATTCTTTTTCCTTAGCAGAAACTTTTAAGAGTACCCCATTTTAACCAATATTTGCACAAGCAATTATGTCTTTTTTAGGGAAACTGATTTTTCAGAGCTACAAGAGATGTTATTTGAATATCTAATTGAATAATTTTAATTCACAGATGACAGCATGACTTACAAGGAAATTAAAATGATGTATTAGTATTAAAATTTAGTATTAAAACTCCAACTAGAAACTATAGTTTGTTCCTACTCTGATTCAGTTATTTTTTGTTTACAGTTTCAACATGTAGTTACTAACCTATCTCTGGTGTATGATGCATCACACACTAACTCAATAAATCCTGATATTACTTTATTATGTTAATGTCAGAATCAAAGAAAGCAGATGCCTATACATTGTCCATTGTAAAGACTGGAGGTAGCCACCACCACCACCACCACCATCACCAACACCCATTGCTCCTCTCGCTAACCATTTTGCAGAACTAGATGTACAAAGCTGTTCCCCCTGTGTGAAATTGTCCAAAGTTTTCATAACCCTCTACTTTCTTCTGTTTTTGTCTTTCTGATCACACGCTGTGAGTTCTGCTTTGACTACATGATTTCTTTTTGCCAGTCTTCAGACAATAAAGTTTTTCTTGTTTTTTTATTTGTTCTTTTGTTTCTTCATTTGTTTTGAGTTCTGTTTTCTTTCCTCCTAGGGGAGCCACATGAACAATTTCTAAATCCATTTAGGCACCTTCTGCCCCTCTTTTTAGTGTCAGACCTGCATTTTCAAGTATTCACTAGGTAGTTCCACTACAAAGCCTTATTGTAAACTCAAACTCCATTTGCCTGAATCTTATCCACTTCTCTATAGAAGTTTCTGCTTCTGATTTTCTGTTTCTAATAATGGCACCATCATTCCCTCACTCCTGTCTCCTAGTTACTAATTTTCTAAGTGATCTAAGCTTTCCTCTTACCTATCCTTTGCTCTCCACATCCAAGTTATCACACTCCTGTCCATTAGCTTCCATTCCTAAGAACGCTACCCTGCTTAGAGCTTTCACGACCTTTTGTCAATGATTTAAGTAACTTAATTACTGGTCACTGTGCCTTTTCTTTCTCTCTTCTCTTTTATATATATATATAAATTTCTCTTTTATATAAATTATAAATTTCACATATATAATTTTCAGATAAATGTTTTCCAGGATTTGTATAATTTAACTCCATGACTCAGATATTTCTAATGATTTCCTATTGCATTTTAAATATAATCAAAACAAGGCTTTAAATTTTTCTTTTATTGTACAACCTCAATGTGTACATTTATTTTTTGTTAATTGAATGTAGGCACTATTTTAGTAATATATTATTTATATTATAAAACATGCACAAAGGATAAAAAATAAAAATCAATGAAATAAACTAAAATTACTGTTTTTATTATATTAAAAATTAATACAGACATATTTGACCACATTAAAAAATGATTAATAATAATATTTTAAAGAAAGCATTGATTGACTGTGCTTTAGTACTTTTTTGATTTTGGTCTCGAATTTTATGATAGAGTTATTTGAAATTTAGCTTCAAGAAGTTAAGCTTATTTTGACATTTAGTTTTAATGAATATTCATAGCAGAAAAGAGGTAATTCACAAGGCTATGCCAGAAATAGAAGTGGACCAAAGGTTGTACTCATGAAATCTTGCTGCCTGTTTCTGAAGTATGGCATTAGAAACCAATTATGAAGCAAAATTGTGGCCATTCCACAAATAAGTGTTAATTTCCTTAATACTGATTATTTTTTCATCTTAACTATCAGAAAATATAGTGCTTTTAAAATATTTTCTAACAAATGGCTTTAAATCCTACAGGAGTTCTTCATCTGGAGGTTTTAAAACAGATTAAAATATTCTGTTTTAAAGGTTGTTAAATGAGCATATATGACAGTTTTTAAAAGTGATATATGTCATTTTATGTAGCATAATTATGATTTCCAAATATCTATCTTCAAAGCGCTGTATCCACATCATAATTTTCACAAAGAGACAGTGTTTTGTTTTGTTTTTTGGCTAAATATCTAATAGGTAGCACATTTCTGGTAACTAGTGTTTACTTTTTTTCTAAGTACCCAATAAGTAGTATATTATAATAACACTGTCATCGCCAAAAAGTTGAATAACTTTGGAATTCTTCTATTTTTGTTAAATAAAAATAATTAAATCTTCACATTCTGCTGCTTTTTAACTAATTTTTCATGAGATAATCAGTAAAGTTCTGTGTTTAAAATAATTTCATTGTTATTCCCCATCTCAGTACAAAATATTAATAATATTCTTCAAAATATAAAGTTCTCATTAGTGTACAAGGTACTACATCAGTAACATCCTGAGGCACTTGTCCAGTTCTGGCTTACTTGCAATAAATGCAGTAAATGAGTTTTACAGGTACCACTATCTCTGTGTCCTGACCCTTAAAAAAATAATAATTCTAATCAGAGAAACCACTCTTTAATATCTAATATACAGTTTTTCCATTAAAAATATATATACCTTTATAAAACAGTTCACTCAGTGTTGAGGTTATGTTCTCATTGATACATGTTTCCATGAGGGATCACAATAGTAATTCTTTGAGTATTTTACTATTAAAACAGATATAGAGACTATTATGAACTAAGCACATCAGAAATATTCATACTTTAATTCTATTATTACCAAACTTTTTGCTACTTAATTTGTTCTAATAATTTTTCCTGAAACCTTCTGCAATTATTTCTTTGCTCCTTCCAACACTATTGCTGGTAAAAGAATACAACCTGATTGTCACCATCTTGTTTTCCACATGTTACTTTAGCAATTTTTCCATGGCAGAAAAAAAAAGTTTCCCTAAATTATGTGTAATTTTTTTGTCTTTTACTATTAAATAAGAAAATTCAAAGAAGTTTCCAAATGTTTATTATTCAATGTAGTGAAAATTTGTAATGCACTGAAAACTTATCTGCCAAAAATTATACAGGTTTGTGATGTTGTCATAATACCACTGGCTGTAACACCAAGGTACATGATGTGTTCAGGGTAATCTTTGATACTAGCAATAATAGATGCAGATTATGTTTTCAAATAATTTTCCTGGTAATGTTAAACATTTTTGTCTAACTTTATGTCAGATCTGATTTAATTTGATGATCATTATTTTTACCTTATGAAAACTGATGAAAAACTGTAACAATATGAAAAGTGTCAGCTTTCTTTTTAATATATACATGTGTTTCTTACCTTATTGGTTGTATCTTAAACACATTACTTTTTCTCAGGAGTCTTTTGCTACCACTTACCCGTTATAGGAAAGTTGGTTTAGTTGAAACTAGGTAATGTAACCATAAACCTGCCTAACTGAACATTAAGCTTCAATATAAAGGTGAGCAAATGAGTTGATTGCCTCACTGTAACTTCTTGTAGTATAACTCCCAGTTTTCTCCCAGGATTCCTCACAGACCATGTGACCAACTGATATAAGAAGTAAGAAAATAGTGATGTTACCTATTTATTAAATATTAGTAAAATTTAATTTATTTTCTACTTTGGATTGAAAAATACAATTAAAATCCTAATATTCCCTTCTTGTAGTCCATTGGATCATCTAGCATAGTCACTGGGGGATCTGCACCGCACAGCAGAGACTCTTGTCTAAGAGGCTTAGTTGGCTCACTCAGCCTTCTGGAATCTGGCTTCAATACAAATTTCAAGCAACTCTAACATTCCCCACAAGTGAGAAATCAAAAACCAGCCGCATATGCCTTTGTGTTGTGCTGGATAATAGCTTGTGCTTTCTCTCTTCCGATCCTCTTCTCTGTTTTTCTGTGTGCATGCATGCTGCACCTTCACATTCACCTGTCTGAAAATCCCATCTGGACCTCCAATTGCCAGCAATTCTTCCATGAATCTACTCTTCTTTTCCCTAGTGGCAGTCAGTGCTGCTGCCAAACTCCCAGTATTGATTAGTTTTAAAATGAGTTTTTATTTGGGATCGAAATAATACTCTTAATTTATCTCATTTTATTCTGAGCACTGTATTAAGTCCTTCCTCTGTCATTTAATCTGCAAAACTATTGATAAGGTCAACATTATGGAACTTGTTTTAAAAATGGGGAAAACTAACTTCCCTGCCCAAGATCACATAGCGGGAATGAAACAGAACTAGGGTTATACTTCAGTTCTGATTTTGAAGGCTGTGTTCTTAACCACTGTGCAAAATGCCTTTTTCCTATTATACTTACAGAATACTACCTTTTCATTATTATAATTATTTGTCTCTCTTAGCAACTCCCACTGCAATTCCAAACAGTTTGTAAATTTTTCATTTTGTTTATATATTTGTATTATTTTATTTAGTCATTTATTTGTCACTTGTGTCATTCATATTATTATAGTGTTGTTTATATTGCTTTGTTGCCACATCATTTTGTCTCTTCACTCATTTTTGTCTTTCAAAAATGCTTCTTGAAAAGAATTAAATTAATCTTGAAGTATAATAATTTGAAAAGTATGCCCTTTTTATTGTTTTAGTTTAATATTTTAAAAAGTCACATAGGTACAGAAGTTACTCTTTTTATTTGTATACATAAACACAGTACTGCTTAAGTCCATATTTGATATACAAGAATTACACTGAAACATTATCGCTTTCCTTATAGAAACGAAACTTTGAGCATCCTTTAGCATGTACTTTTATTTCTGGTTAAAATTATCTAAGGGTTATTATTTAAGTTATGTATACCCATTGTACCATAAGGACCATGTAATCAGATAGGATAGGTTTTCTGTAATGACAAGAACTCCCATATTAGGACATGTAGACATCCTATCTTTAGGTATCAGATCTTTTACTCCAAGCCCAGTGAATTTTACAAACTTAATCGTGTTTGAAGTGTTTCATAAACCCAAACTAGCAATCCATGTTGATGTAAATTTTGTTAACATAATTAAACATCATTCATTTCTGGTTTAATTTTAGTCCATCAAAAATAAATGGCTTTGGGAAAATTAAACAAAAACTTAATTTTACATCCTTTCCTTCCACAGTTTTATATATAACCTGGAATTCAGTTCTTAACCCCCCAAATATCCAAAAAACTTACATTTGCCTTCAATGTGGAAGGCTAAAAGCTACAGCATTTGTGAAAAGGGCAGAACCAGGTCTGGCAGTGCAGATATGTTTTGTCATAATCCCCACTGCTAGTGAAGGCCTCAAGATACGCCACCAAAGGAAGAGTTTCGAATGGGGCTCAGTTCCTCACTGGCTCTCTCTGACTGGTCTGCAATTCAATAAGTGGCAGTGGATACTGGACTATCTATGCTCACTCTATGTTCTTAGTTAATAAGTATTAAAAAAAAAAAGGAAATCTTAGCCTTTCGAGATTGTGAGTAATTTTTTAATAGAAAGAGACTAGAAAGGATCAAGTAGCCTTAATTCCATACATGGGGAATGTGCAAAACATAATAAAAATAAGTCAGTGTAATACAGCCTAGTGCTAAATGCAGAAAAAATACATAGACAATGTTTTCCTCAGAGGAAATGAAAAATAACATTTCTGTTTCTAAAAAGGTATGCTTAAATTATGGTTGTTCTCATTTGCTTCTATCAAAGATGACAAATAAAATTCTCATGCAAAAGATAGATACTTAGAATTTTATTCTTATGTAAGAATTTCAGAGGTTGTTCTAAATTGTATTACATATAAAAAGTAAAATGGACAATATGTAATGCCAATCACTGATTATCTATTCAAATGAGAAAAATGATGAATAATTTTTAAATTAATGATATTTATACATATGTATATGTTACATATATATTATATGTGTGTATGTAATTTAGAAAGAACCATTTTTATCCATTTGTTCCCTTACATCTTAGTATGCTACTAAATAGCTTAATATTATTTTTTAAAATAAGTACACCATCACACATCTTTAAAGCAACTGAGAAAAATATTCCCAGTTTATCAATTTTGGGGATTTAGAAACTTGAAAGAAAATGAGCCCAATTATGCCACTTTCACATGAATCCTTTGATTGTATTCCTACAGATGCATGGTACTTCAGACACCCATTTGAAGATTGAACAATTAAAAAACAAGACCCAACTTACACACTGTGTTTTACATTCTTCTCTGTTTTATCTACTTTTTCTTATTTGATCAAATTATTCCCTTTTTAATAAATGTTCTTAACAAAGCAGTGTTGAGTCCATATAGACCAGTTAGCTTGCATGAGTACAAATTGCACACTGGGTTCTAACCCAGATCTCTCACAAAAGCAAGTGGATAGCACAGAAAGGATTGTGGTGGATGGACAGTGGATAAGTGCTTCAATATGCTGATCTCTGTGTATTAAGAAAAACTTAGAAAAAAAAATTAGCAGCAGCAAACAAAAGAGATGAATGTGTAGGTGCCTTACATTAAAGAGGCAAAGGACCTATCATCTCTTTGTAACAAGCTAATGGTGTAATGAGAAAACAGGACATTTTCCTCTGTTAGGGGAGTTTACACCTAAGCTAGTTATATGAAGAAAATTGGCATTATGAATTCTTTTCGATATATCATGGTAAAATAAGTACATGTCCTGTTCCTTCTGAACAATTCAGCCAAATGCCTTTTGGTCAGCTAACTTATTTCCTCTCCAAACATTTTCTTAGTCCCACAAGCCTGTAGAGCAAGCACTTTGCAGACGTGGGACCACATAATGGAAAAAAGGAAGAGTCATTTAGTGGAAAAAAAATCATCCAGCATCACCACCATATGTAAATAATGACTTAATCCTGTGAGGAGTGTGGAGGAAAGAGACCAGGAAGTGAGAGGCTGGAGGGATAGATAAGTAGGTAGAACATCGTGCTGAGGAAAGTGTGGACACATGGAGAACAGCCACAGTAAGGGGCGTTGTAGGGTAGGTATTTTGATATTTATGTGTGTTAGTCTTCTGCCTCATGTCTCTTAATTTCCTTTGTTACATTATGTATGAGGGTTCTTCAAAAAGTTGTGGGAAAATAGAATTAAAAGACAATGCAAGTCTTTCCATAAACTTTTTGAAGTACATTTGTATCCCTTGTCATAATCTGATTTTTGTAAAATGTCAGTAGAACCTCCAGAAACTATTGCATAAAACTGTAATTTCTCTTTTATTGTACTTAGTGAATTGTTACATATATTGTTTACTGTGATTTAGTGAAGGGGAGATGGGACTAAGGTAAGGAAAGGTAGACAAGGAAGGACAAAGAAAGCATATTGGACTCAAAGAAATGTGCTCTGCCATTGTCGGGGATGTGGTGAGATAAAAATGTCCCTCCACTGTGATGATCCAGAAAGCTTTTATTAGAAAGCTGCTTCACCTTTGTTTGCCTCATCAATGTAAGCTCGTAAGAGAAAGAGACCAAAGTAAGATGTGTGTTCATCAGCTCTGCTACTGTAGTCTCACAACTGCGGATAAGTAATCCCTTCCTGAAGAGACATCCGAAATGGACCAGAAAGGTTAATTATTGGTAAACCAAAAAGTAAGCATTGCTTTTTTCCCTAAACTTGTTAAGAATATATCAGACTATCTTTTGAATTGAGTAATGTCATAAATTCAGCAAATGTGCTCAGGATATATCGTTAACTATACATAATAAAAATATATACTGAGATGAAATCAAATGTAAAAGGAGTATTAAGCCAACAACTTTTATGTCTGATAACTCTGTAACTAGAAAAAGGAGAAGGGGAAGGAAAAGGGGAAAAAGAAGGGGAAGGAAAAGCAAAGGGAGGGAGGGAAGAAGGAAGGAAGGAAGGAAGGAAGGAAGGAAGGAAGGAAGGAAGGAGAAAGAAAGGTTTGATGCATGTTTATTGTTTGTTGTGCAACCTCACTTCTGTTCATTTGAGCTATAGTTCAGTAAGAAGAGCCCGCACACACACCTGCTGAAAATATATAGTTCAAGGTACAGACTTAGCAGAATCAAGATGCTTCACAGCTTATGCAAAAAGCCCTTATGCAAAAGTCTCTGTTTGACTTTTTAATTTAAATCCTCTCCTATTCTTGAAACAAAATTGTTGTCAAGGCATCCTCATAGCACAAGGCAGGCAGCAAGGTCGAGGCTGTGTTGTGCCTACTAGTGTCCCATGTCCCAGGAAAACCCTTGCTACCACTTCCAAAAGTTAGTTATTGTACTGGTTGAAGGCGACTACCTTTGAAGATAAAACACCAATTGATTTCAAAATCAGAAGACATTTATAAATGATATTTATGAAACACCTTTGAGGTGGGATACTGACAATAAATGTGATTAACAACTCTACAAAAATAACAACTGGATATTTCTCTTTTGCTGAACTGATGAGTCAGAGCAATTATTGAAAAAGTTTTTGAAATCTTACAATTTTTAAACATTCATTCCAAATGATATAGAGTAATGTCATTAACAATGGTACCAAGTATATATAGTGTTTTACAGCTTTCAAGGTGTAATTAAAAAGCAGTGCCTTGTTTGAATCTCTCAACAATAACAAAAAAATCCGTCGCAGTGAGTAGTGCATTTATTATTATGATGTGTTACTTGCTTATTTTTGTTAAGTACATTTTCCAACATCTCATCCAACTTGTAGCCAGACACAAAGCCCATACTCTGATTCTTTTCTTGTTCTTTGCCAGGCTTCATCATCCAAAAATATTAATCATATTAATAGAAAAATCATCATTAAAATGTTTCTTCCAAATTTGAACTTTATCTCAAAGAAAATGTACTGAGAAAGATAATCATATTTTTGAAGGAAAATGGTATTGAAATGTAAAATGTAGAGTATGAATGAAAATATCAAATGTCATTGAGAATTGACTTTTAAATTAAACTTAGTTTAAATGAAAACTAATCTTTACTGATGTGTGTCAACTATACTCATTTTTGTTCTCATTCAAACTTTTTTTTTGATACTGGCACGTAGTTGAAAAAATTCTCATAATGACTTCGCAGTTCTTAATAGTTATTTGGGAGTAATGGAGAGGCCATGTTTTTAGTTTAACCATGTTAAGTTTTCCTGTATCTTTTCCTCCCTGCTAGGAAAAGGAAGATGACAAATCAGACATCTCAACTTCTCAGCAGCCTAAAAGCCCACAAGGTCTGAGTGACACAGGATATTCTTCTGATGGAATATCAAGTTCACTAGGTGAAATTCCAAGTCTTATTCCGAGTGACGAAAAGGATTTGCTCAAGGGACTCAAAAAGGACTCTTTTTCACAAGAAAGCAGCCCTTCCAGCCCCTCAGATTTGGCTAAGTTAGAAAGCACAGTCCTATCCATTTTGGAAGCTCAGGCAAGTACACTAGATGAAAAGTCAGAAAAGAAGACACAACCCGATGAGGTCTCTCCTGAGCAGCCTAATGACCAACTGAAAACTCAGTTTTTATCTGAAATACTGGAAATTACTATTTCAGAAGAGGAGCTAAAGGAAAGTCAAGAAGAAAAGAAAGACACCTTTAAAAAAGATAGCCAACAAGGCATTCCTCCCAGTAAAGACCAAAAAGTAAAGTTGGAGTTTGTTGATAACATAACTACAAAAAGAGAGCCCTATGATTCAGTTGAAGACAGTAGTGAAAGTGAAAACTCACCTGTTCCACAAAGAAAACGGAGAACAAGTGTTGGTTCATCAAGCAGTGATGAGTATAAACAGGAAGATAGTCAAGGGTCAGGGGAAGAGGAGGACTTCATTCGAAAACAAATCATAGAAATGAGTGCTGATGAAGATGCTTCTGGTTCTGAAGATGATGAATTTATTAGGAAACAGCTCAAAGAGATTAGTGGCAGTAGCAGGAGCCACAAGAAGGAAGAAACAAAAGGGAAAGGGAAAGTAACAGCAGGGAAACACAGGCGACTGACTCGAAAAAGTAGTGCAAGCTTTGATGATGATGCAGGGAGACGTCATTCATGGCATGATGAAGATGACGAAACGTTTGATGAAAGCCCTGAATGCAAATACCGAGAAACTAAAAGTCAGGAAAGTGAGGAACTTGTAGTTGCTGGAGGAGGGGGGCTACGGAGATTTAAAACAATTGAACTCAACAGCACAATAGCAGATAAATATTCTGCTGAGTCATCACAGAAAAAAACAGCTTTGTATTTTGATGAAGAACCAGAATTAGAAATGGAAAGCCTGACAGACTCACCAGAGGATAGGTCAAGAGGAGAAGGATCTTCTAGTCTTCATGCTTCCAGTTTCACTCCTGGTACATCCCCTACATCAGTGTCATCACTTGATGAGGACAGTGACAGTAGCCCAAGTCACAAAAAAGGAGAAAGCAAACAGCAACGCAAAGCTCGGCACAGATCACATGGCCCTCTTTTACCTACTATTGAAGATTCTTCAGAGGAAGAAGAATTGAGAGAGGAAGAAGAGTTATTAAAGGAGCAAGAAAAGCAGCGAGAATTAGAACAGCAACAAAGAAAGGGCTCTAGTAAAAAATCAAAGAAAGACAAAGATGAACTTCGAGCTCAGAGAAGGAGGGAAAGACCAAAAACGCCACCTAGTAATCTCTCTCCCATTGAAGATGCATCTCCAACAGAAGAATTACGTCAGGCTGCAGAAATGGAGGAGCTCCATAGATCTTCTTGTTCCGAATATTCACCTAGCATAGAATCAGACCCAGAAGGTTTTGAAATAAGCCCAGAGAAAATAATAGAAGTACAAAAAGTTTACAAATTGCCCACAGCTGTGTCTTTATACTCACCAACAGATGAGCAATCTATTATGCAGAAAGAAGGTAGTCAAAAGGCGTTAAAAAGTGCTGAGGAGATGTATGAAGAAATGGTGCACAAAACTCACAAATATAAAGCTTTTCCAGCTGCAAGTGAACGAGATGAAGTTTTTGAAAAAGAGCCTTTGTATGGTGGGATGTTAATAGAGGATTATATTTATGAATCTTTAGTAGAGGACACATACAATGGATCAGTAGATGGCAGTCTGCTAGCAAGGCAAGAAGAAGAAAATGGATTTATGCAGCAGAGGGGAAGAGAGCAAAAAACAAGACTTCCAGAGCAGATTTATGAAGATCCTATGCAGAAAATTACAGACCTCCAGAAAGAGTTTTATAAGTTAGAAAGCGTACATTCTGTTGTGCCTCAAGAAGACATTGTTTCAAGCTCTTATATAATCCCAGAAAGCCACGAGATAGTGGATCTGGGTACTATGGCAACTTCTACCAGTGAAGAAAAAAAATTACTAGATGCTGATGCTGCCTATGAAGAACTCATGAGAAAGCAACAGATGCAATTGACACCTGGATCCAGCCCAACCCAGCCTGCCATTGGCGATGATGTGTCAGAGTCCACCACGGACTTTGACAGGATGCCTGATGCATCTTTGACATCAAGTGTTCTCTCAGGAGCGTCTCTTACAGATTCGACCAGCAGTGCAACACTCTCTATCCCAGATGTTAAAATAACACAACATTTTTCAACAGAAGAGATTGAGGATGAATACGTAACTGATTATACTAGAGAAATTCAAGAGATCATTGCTCATGAATCAATGATTTTGACCTATTCTGAGCCTTCAGAAAGTGCTACGTCTGTCCCACCTTCGGATACACCTTCTCTCACATCATCTGTTTCTTCAGTTTGCACCACAGATAGCTCCTCACCCATTACTACCCTGGATAGCATAACCACAGTTTTTACAGAGCCAGTGGATATAATAACTAAATTTGAAGATTCTGAGGAAATTTCTTCATCAACTTATTTTCCAGGCAGCATTATAGACTATCCAGAAGAAATAAGTGTATCTTTAGATCAGCCTACCACACCAGATGGTAGAACTAGTGTTGATCACGTTATGATTTCCTTATCTGATATGACACCTTCTATCATAGAATCTGTAGGAACTAAACCTGAGGGGCCAATTGTGGACACTATTTCAACTGACTTATCTTTATCTGAAAAAGATTCAATGAAGAAAGCCAAGGACACTGGGAACAAGCTTATTCTGGAAGTTTTGGAAGCCTATAGAGATAAAAGGAAAGAGTTTGAGGCTGAACTAACAAAAACTAGCTTACTGGAAACTGTTCTTGATCAACCACCTTCTTCTGAAATAGCCCTTCCAATGAAGGAGCAGTTTTCAACTACATACTTTATATCTGGAGAGGTCTTTGGTCAGGAAAAACCTGCACCTCATTTACCACCTGGCCGTCCTTCTGCGTCCGCTCTTCCAACTAAAACTCGTCCATTCTTCCGAAGTTCTTCTCTGGATGTATCAGCCCAACCTCCTCCTCCCCCACCTCCTCCTCCTCCTCCTCCACCACCGCCCCCTCCCCCTCCTCCACCCCCACTGCCCCCACCAACTTCACCTAAACCAACTATTCATCCTAAAAAAAAGTTAGCAGTTACATCTCCAGTGACTCTAACAACTACAGCTGCACCTCTGGTTGATTCTGTTACTACTGTGGAGACCACAGCCATTCCAAGGAGTAATGGGTCACCTGTAACAAAAGTATGTACCACCACACCTCCTCCTGTTCCTCCTAAGCCATCTTCAATTCCATCTGGACTTGTATTTACACATAGGCCTGAGCCAAGCAAACCTCCAATTGCCCCTAAACCAGCAGTTCCTCAGCTTCCAATAACTACACAAAAATCAGATATACACCCCAAACCAACAGGTCTATCTTTAACCTCAAGTATGACCTTAAATTTAGTGACTTCAGCAGATTATAAATCGCCTTCCCCTACTTCCCCACTTTCTCCACACTCCAACAAGTCCTCACCGAGATTTTCCAAATCCCTCATGGAAACTTACGTGGTTATTACATTGCCATCTGAACCTGGGACTCCAACAGATTCTTCAGCTAGCCAAGCAATTACCAGTTGGCCCCTGGGATCACCCCCCAAAGATTTAATTTCCATTGAACCAGTGTTTTCTGTAATTCCTCCTATGAAAGCTACAGAAATTCCACATTCTTCAGAGCAGACCCTGTACATCTCCGGAGTTTTGGAGTCATTTTCTGCTGCACCTGTCACAGCACTGTCTTCATTTCAAGCAGCTCCAACTTCAGTTCCACAGTTTCTCACAACTGAAGTTTCCAAGGCTGAGGTTTCCACAGCCAGAAGTACAGTCTCCAGTGTTGATCTCAGCAGTGTCTCTATTTCAATTCCCCCAGAGCCTCTTGCTCTTGATCACCTGCATTTAGAGAAGCATCAATATAAGGAAAATGGAAAGTTGCAGCTTGTTGGTGATGTCATTGATTTGCGTACAGTACCAAAAGTAGAAGTTAAAGCAACTGAAAAATGTATGGATCTTTCTGCTTCTACAATGGATGTGAAAAAGCAGACCACAACAAATGAAGTTTATGGGAGACAAGTTAGTGCTGTCCAACCCTCTATTATAAACCTCAGTGCAACTTCATCAGTGGTTACTCCTATATCCCTAGTCACTGAGATCATGAGTGTTGTCACATGCACAGCTACTGCAAGTTACACTACAAGTACAGAAAGCGTAGTGGGTATAGAACATGCACCAACAGCACCACTCCAGCTTACTACATCAAAACATGCTGAGCCCCCTTACAGGATGCCAAATGGCCAGGCCTTTCCTACAGTTAGGGAGGAAGCACCCATAAACTTATCTCTAGGTACATCAGCACATGCGATGACATTGGCTGCTACAAAACCTGTCACTATGCCTCCCGTAGGTGTCACAAATGGATGGACTGACAGTGCTACATCCCAGGGGATCCCTGATGGGGAAGTGGTGGATCTCAGTACAACAAAGTCTCATAGAACCGTCGTAACAATGGATGAATCTACTTCAAGTGTGGTGACCAAAATAATAGAGGATGACGAAAAACCTGTTGATTTGACTGCAGGAAGAAGAGCTGTGTGCTGTGATATGGTTTATAAGTTACCATTTGGAAGGAGCTGCACAGCACAGCAGCCTGCAACTACTCTTCCTGAGGATCGTTTTGGCTATAGGGATGACCACTACCAGTATGATCGATCAGGGCCATATGGTTATAGAGGGATTGGGGGAATGAAACCTTCCATGTCTGACACTAATTTAGCAGAAGCTGGACATTTTTTTTATAAAAGTAAGAATGCTTTTGATTATGCTGGTGGAACTGATGCAGCAGTAGACCTAACTTCAGGGAGAATTACAACAGGTCAGTATGATATGGCAACAGACCTTTCCTTGAAATATCATTATGGTGTACCTCATCTCATTTCAGGATGACAATGTGGTCGCTTTCCAATTTTGTTACTTTTCCTCTTTCTTTGGATGTTCTGGCAACATATTTTGGAGTACATGTGCGCTTTTATTTCTTCATTTTTTAAAATTTGTTCTGCTCAAAGTCACCTGCATGTGCCTGCATGTTCAACATTGCTTTTGTTCCGCATCTGATTAGGTTAACCTGTGGATTTGCATGCAGTCCTAGTCATTATGCTCATCAAGATGAGAGGGCTTTCAAACCAAAAAAGCATCACTCATTCTGGGAACTGGACTATAACTCTACCCTGTATTTCAGGTGAGGTAATGGATTATTCAAGCAAGACTACAGGGCCATATCCAGAAACACGACAAGTCATTTCAGGAGCTGGGATTAGTACCCCACAGTATTCCACAGCAAGAATGACTCCACCTCCAGGATCCCAGTATGGTGTGGGAAGTGTTTTGAGATCTTCTAATGGTGTTGTGTATTCTTCAGTAGCGACCCCAATACCCTCCACATTTGCTATCACCACACAACCTGGCTCCATTTTCAGCACCACTGTGAGGGATTTGTCTGGTATTCATACAACTGATGCAGTATCTGCCCTGCACCAGAACCAGCCAATGCCTAGATCATATTTCATAACAACAGGTGCATCTGAAACGGACATTTCAGTAACTGGTATTGATATCAATGCCAGTTTGCAAACTATTACTATGGAAACTTTTACTGCTGATACTATAGACTCTGTTCCCACTTTAACCACAGCATCTGAAGTATATTCTGAAGTGGTGGGAGATGAAAGCACTCTTTTAATTGTCCCTGATGAAGGTAAACAACAACAGCAGTTAGACTTGGAGCGTGAGCTCTTAGAACTGGAGAAAATTAAGCAACAGCGCTTCGCTGAGGAATTGGAGTGGGAACGTCAGGAAATTCAAAGGTTCCGAGAACAAGAAAAGATCATGGTTCAGAAAAAGCTGGAGGAACTACAGTCTATGAAGCAGCACCTTCTCTATCAGCAAGAAGAAGAGCGGCAAGCCCAGTTTATGATGAGGCAGGAGACATTAGCTCAGCAACAGCTCCAGCTTGAGCAGATCCAACAGCTGCAACAGCAGCTTCACCAGCAATTAGAGGAGCAGAAGATTCGCCAGATCTATCAGTATAACTATGACCCTTCTGGAACTGCTTCTCCACAAACCACTACCGAGCAGGCAATTTTGGAAGGTCAGTATGCTGCCCCAGAAGGCAGTCAGTTTTGGGCTACTGAAGATGCAACCACCACAGCTTCAGCTGTGGTGGCAATTGAAATACCACAAAGCCAAGGATGGTACACAGTTCAGTCTGATGGTGTTACTCAGTACATTGCGCCACCTGGCATTCTGAGCACTGTTTCCGAAATACCTCTAACAGATGTTGTTGTAAAAGAGGAAAAACAACCCAGAAAAAGAAGTTCTGGAGCTAAGGTCCGTGGACAATATGATGAGATAGGGGAAAATGTGGCAGACGATCCCCGGTGTTTTAAAAAGATAGTGGACAGCGGTGTACAGACTGACGACGAAGACAGTGCAGATCGGAGTTATGCCAGTAGGAGAAGGAGAACGAAAAAGAGTGTTGATACAAGTGTCCAAACTGATGATGAAGACCAGGACGAATGGGAGATGCCCACGAGGTCAAGGAGAAAAGCTCGTGTAGGGAAATATGGTGACAGCACGACAGAAGCTGACAAGACCAAACCCCTTTCCAAAGTCTCCAGCATAGCAGTGCAGACGGTAGCAGAGATATCTGTGCAAACTGAACCAGTTGGAACCATAAGGACACCTTCGATACGGGCACGAGTGGATGCCAAGGTAGAAATCATTAAACACATTTCAGCACCTGAAAAGACTTACAAAGGGGGCAGTTTAGGATGTCAAACAGAAGCAGATGCAGACACACAAAGTCCTCAGTATCTGACTGCCACATCTCCACCCAAAGACAAGAAACGCCCAACACCTTTAGAGATTGGTTATTCATCTCACCTCCGGGCAGATTCCACACTGCAACTGGCTCCTTCCCCACCCAAATCTCCAAAAGTTCTTTATTCACCCATCTCACCACTTTCACCAGGCAAAGCCTTAGAATCAGCCTTTGTACCTTATGAAAAACCCCTCCCCGATGATATAAGTCCACAGAAAGTACTGCATCCAGATATGGCTAAAGTTCCCCCAGCAAGTCCTAAGACAGCCAAGATGATGCAGCGTTCTATGTCTGACCCCAAGCCTCTGAGTCCAACAGCAGACGAAAGTTCCAGGGCTCCTTTTCAGTATACTGAGGGCTACACGGTAAGAGTGATTCTTTTCAGGTAGCAGATAATGGGCGAGTTAATGTTAATCACATGTTTTCAGATGTTAGGAGGCAGTAAAGTACCTGGTACCTTAGAAACCAAATATTAAGTTTCAGTGAAGAATATGGCATTAGAAATCTGCAGGGGAAAAACAAAAATAGAAAAGCATTCATTTAAAAATACCAAAGAAAGAAAACATAATGTGAGGCAAAATGAAAAAGTTTATTATTTTATGACAATGAGATTGAAAGTTTTGTTCTAACATCAAAATCTACCAAATGTCAGTTGTAGACTGTGATTTCAGTGAATACAATTAATATTCATTTTCAAATATGATGGAATAAATATTGAATATAAATAGATAAGGCAAAGGATGACCATAGATTTAGACCATGAATACTGGAATTCTTTAGCTGGAAGATCCTTAAAGATCATCTGGTCGGTCTCCTCTTCCTCCAGCCAGAATATTTTTATAAAAAGGATTAGCACATTTACTAGTCAAAAGACAGCAGCTCTGGGGTAGGCAGATGAAAGTATGACATAATCATAGTTTAGTCATGTTTATTTTGTTTCTGGCAATGTTCTTAATGTAATCTCAAGTAAGCCTTAGTCCTAGTGATTATAAAAGCAAAATGAATTTTTATATTTCTTTGAATAATGGAGATTAATTATTTTAAAATATATAGATATGCTTCACGGGGAAAATAACATACAGATATGTTAGACACATCTGTGAATATCTGTATAACTGAGAAAAAGAAATGTCAATAATCAGCTATAAAAGCAGGTATATCCTACTTAGGATAACCTAATATATAACTGTTAGAAGATGGTTGATAAATATAATTGGTCAATATAGAGCAAGATTTCATTCAAATTAAAAGTTCACCTAATACACTGGTTTCTGAATGCTAGGTCTTTGAACCTGTGAAGCTTCTAAGTAGGGTTTTCTGATATATTGCTGTATTTCCACTGGCCTGTAGATATTAAACATTGGCTGTGGGCTGAAAAATATGTCATTATATATGATTATAAGTCCATTTGTAGGTATATAGACATACCAACAATCAAATTAACAAATTAAATTTGTTTCTAAGTTTTCTAGTTTTCTAGTGGCATTTTGTTATTATGTTCTTTCTCAAACAGTATAACTTAGAAGTGAAACTGTCTTCATGTGAGGGACTGTGGTCATAAGTATAGAGTAAAGAAACCCCTGGAACGTTACGATTTTATCTAGTTTATACAGAGTTATTTTATGCATAGCTTTGTTTCTAGATTGCATATATTGTGAAAAGTGATTTTTAACTTAGTTATAATGTGTAGGTATTTATTTTTTGCAGCTGTGGCTTGTAAATTTACTTAAAGCATTATATGGAAAACTTTGAAATATGTTTTTGACAGTGTTGTTAAAGTAATATTCAAGGCTTCTGTCATTAGAAAGAATAGGCTTCTCCAGTGTATTGATCATTTACTTAATATATATTTCTGTACTCTTAATTCAAATGAATTCAGTTAAAGAAGAGATTTAAGTTATCAATATTTTTTCCTCACAATATTCACTTTGGGTTTGGAAATGTGAAAAGAAAGATAAAATGGGTTGTATAGGTTATATTACTGATTGTATCAGTAATATTGATGAACTGTCTAATCATAAAAGAAATTGAATAGAGTTACCAAATAATACTGTGAGTCTGAAAAATTCTAGATTTATTGAGTCTTGGAGTACAATTCTTTCAACTGATCAAACTTAATGTGCACTTTAATGTAGAATAATTGTACACAATCTCAAAGGCATAGTGTTATTGCATGCACAAGGTAGAACATATATAGGCAGTGATTTTAACACTTTAGATACTGTGAGTCTAATATGTAAATTTTATAATTTGTTTCTATGCAAACATCAACATGTTTTGAGTCTATTTTGAAGTAAATAGAATTTATTTCTTAGTTATAAATGTGGGTTATGAAGTATTAGCTCTACTAAAAAGAATAATCTTCTAACTGATATTCATAGTGATGTGAATTTAATTTAAGAAGCCTAGCTCAGTAATTTACAGATTGTTAATTTTCACAGATTGTTAATTTTCACAGATCAATAAAATGGAAAAGAATTTAAACCATTCAGTAGGCATTGAAACAACATAGTAACACATATAATACAATGTGAAAGATAAGTTTTGTACTGTATAAGATTTTGAGTCAACATTTTTCTCTTACTGAAAGTGTTAGGAAAGTTTTCAAAGAGGAGGTTCTGAGACATGAAGGTTGAGATCTCTGTTGGAGAAAAATGATGGTCATTTTAAATAGAGGGAATGAAATATGCAAAGATTCAGTTTAATAAGCAGATATAAAGCAAAGAGGAAAAGAAAAGGTTTGGTGTAAATGCAACTGGAGAGGTGTTTACTATAAATGCAACTGGAAAGATGAGTGAGGACCAAGTCACAGAGATCTAATTTGCTGAATTACAGAGTTTGGATTTGCTTCCGTTGGATATGGGGAGCCTAGACTGAAGCCACTTTTTTTTTTTTTACACTGTGCAGTAGCCCCTGGGCTCCATCCACTCTTGCCTTCCCTACAGTCCATTCTCTAAACAGCACCTAGAGTGATTTTCTAAAATGTGTGTTAGATTATGTCACTTGCCGCACAGCTTAAACTCTCCAGTAGAGTCTCATCGAGTTCAAAGTAACTTAGAAATTTCTTAACAAGGCCCCATGTGGTGTGATCTCTGCCTGTCTCATGACCTCATCGGTCACTCTCCACACTTTCGCCTCTTCTAAGTCTGCGTCAGTTACTGGCCTTGGTGTTCTTTGGATGTGCCAACCTCATCCCCACCCAGGGCCCATGTCTGGATCTCTCTCTCCCTCAAGATCTTTGCATGGCTCACAGCTGTGTACAGGTTTCTGCTCAAATGTCACCTCTGCAGAGAGGCTGTCCATAGTTCATTCTCTAAATAAGTCTATCACCACAAATTCTTATTTCTGCCTCTAAATTTGTACATATTATTTGTTAAATATGTTATATTATATATTTAATTGGATATCATCTTTCTTCTTCAGTAGAATTTAAACTCTACAAAAACAGGATTTTTTCTTTGTTTGCTGCTCTAGCCCCAAGTGCCTAGAACAGTGCCTGGCACAAAGTAGGCAGTCAACATTTATTGAAAAATTTATGAAAGGGAGGATTATAAGGATAAGAGCAATGGGATAAGACATATATTATCTCATCCTAGCAGTACTGTTGATAGTCAAAGTTGATATCTACTTTGCTTAAAGTGTCAGTTCCACTTTGTTTTTACGCAGACATCTGAAACACTGAAGACAACTTAAATGGTTTTTAGCTATTAGCAAGACCAGCTACTTCACAGATGAAAAAACAAAGTCCATACTAGGCTAGTGACTTTGTCATGGTTCCTTAATAAACCAATACCCTGGCCAGAATTAGAATGCTAGACTCCACACTTTATATTTCTTATCCTTTTATTAGCCTCTTCTGAGACTTAATGAACATTTCCTATTTCTTACTAATTCAGTAACATGCTTGATGTCAGTCCTTTCATCTTTCATTTCCTCTGCTATCCTTAAAATTCAGTATAAGTCTCTCTCAGTTAGGTTATTCATTTTTTAAATTCATTCTTGCTTGCATTCACTCATTATCTCATTTATTCATCCATTGTTCTTTTGCAGACATGTGGTAAACTAAAGATACAGGACGAACCAGGGAGACAGAGTTCACACTTTATCTCTTACTACCTGGATTGTTTTGTGTTCTTGCCCAGAGATTATTTTAGTTTGCTCAGGCTTTAATAACAAAGTACCACAAACTGGTGGCTTAAACAGCCGAAATATATTATCTCACAGTTCTGAAGGCTGGAAGTCCAAAATCAAGGTGTTGACAGCGTTGGTTCCTTCTGAGGGCTTGAGGGAAGGATCTCCTCCAGGCCTCTTTCCTAGCTTCTGCTACCCTCCTTAGTAGGCCAACCTTTCCCTGCATCTCTTCACTTTGTTTTCCCTCTATATGTATCCATCTCTGTTCAAATTTCCCCTTTTTATAAAAGTCATATTCATTAGGGCACAGACTAGTGATCTCGTTTTAACGTGATTACCTCTGTAAAGACCCTATGTCAAAATAGGTTCATATTCTGAGGTATATCTTTTGCAGGGGGTTAGGACTCCAACATAACCTTTTCGCAGGGAGGACACAGTTCAACCCATAACACATATCAAAGCACTATACTGTACTTTTTATTTATTCACAGGCAAATGTGGTTTGCTTGCTTGTTTGTCTTGGGTCTTCTTTTCACACACAATTTTTCTTTTCTTAGTAACTATCTCACAAGCTTTGGGGAGAGTTTCAGTTATAAAAAAAATTCTTCCTTATGGATAAAATCTCCCTTACTGAAATTTCAAAACACATTTGTCTAAATTCTGCAACTTGGAACATAAGAAATTGAAATTATATAACGTTTCCATTTGATCGGAATACAACTTTGTGGCATGAGGGCTTTTAATTCTGATTTTTCCATCATGGAAACTTGCTCACATACTTTTGACATGGAATATTCCAAGGCAGAAGCATAAATTGTCTAGTTAGGTGTTTCACCATAGCTCTGAGTTTATGCTTACCCCTAAGATATCTTATATATGCAGTTGATTAAAATTAGCACTAATTAACGTATAATAAGGCAATAATACACACAGTGGGCATAACTGGAATAGGGGGTTACCTCAGATCATTTGATTCAGTTTCATAATATTCACCTATGTCTGTAAGAGATGAGCTCCATCCTTTTTTCCATGCCCCATCAGTCTGGTATCAAAACCACAGCCCCCAAACTAAATTCAATGTTTGACAACATTTACATAACCAAACAGTTTTATCCTGCAGCTATTTCCTCTTACAAATTTAAATTTTTGACTCCAAGTAGGCATGGAGAAAAAATCACCACCTGTTTTCTTAAGTCCTTCAGTTTGCTCCACAGGAAATTTCCCAAGAGATATG